CCCCCCCCCCCGCACGAGAAAATACATAACTTTGCTGACCCACTTGACAGCTGTTTTTCTGCCCCTAGACAGGGTCTCACTGTGTAATTCAGGCTCTCATTATGTAGCCCAAGCTGTCCTTGAACTGGTGGCGATCTTACTGCCTCAGCCTCCTGAGTGCTTGGATTGTAGGTGTGCCCTACCACACCTGGCTTACTTGACAGAATTAAGGAGAAAATTCATCTTGTTTTAATAATGAAAAGCATTTGGCAAAATTAAATATCCATTCATGATTTTTTCTAAAGCATTCGTGATTTTTAAAATAATAAAACCTGGCAGTTAGGAATACAAGGAAGTTTTCTTAACCAGATAAAGCGTATCTGCTATACTTGACCCATTTATTGCAGTTAATGAAGTTATGTTGAATGTTTTCCTTCCAGAACAAAGTAAAAGTTCTTTGTCGCAGCAGGGTGTGGTACTGTATACCTGCAGTTCTAGCACTCTAGCTGGGCATGGTGGCGCATGCCTGAAATGGGAGGCGAGGCAGGAGGATTGCTACAAGTTTCATGGTTAGCCTGGACTACATAGTGAGTTCAAGGCCAGTGAACTGCACGGTGAGACCTTGTCTCAAAAAACCCAGAGGAGGAGGAGTAGTAGTAATAATAATAATAATAATTCTATTACTGAGGGAGACTGAGGCAGGAGGATTGAAAGTTCGGATCTAGTCACAGCTTAGTGACCTAGTGAGACCCTGTCTCACAAATAGAAAATAAAAAGGACTGGGTATGTAGTTCATTGTGAAGGTCCTGGGTTCAGTCTGCAGTACTCGGTGGGAGCGGGGAGAACGGTTTGTTTTTACTGCTTGTTTGCCATTGCATTGGAGCTCTCTTTTAGTTACTTCTTTGTTGCTGGGGCAAAGTACCCAACACCCACAAGTAAAGGAGGAAAGGTTTTTTTTTTAAGCTCACAGGTTGTAGAGGTTTCGGTCCATAGCAGGCTGGCTCCAACGCAGGGTGGTGTAGCAGAGGAGAACAGTCCATGGGACGGCAGACAGGAAACAGCAAGCCTTCCTTTCTTCTTTCTTTCCTTTTGAGACAAGGCCTTCAACTAACTTTGTAGCCTAGATTGGCCTCGAATTCACTGCGATCCTCCTGCCTCAGCCTCTCAAGTGCTGGGATTATGGGCATGTGCAACCATGCCCACCTTCTGATTTCCTTCTATCTTTTTGTTTTTGTTTTTCGAGGTAGGGTCTTATTATATAGTTCAGGCTGACCTTGAGCTCACTAATAGAGCCTAGGTTGGCCTGAAACCTGCAGTGATCCTCCTGTGTCAGCCTCCCTACTGGGATCACAGGTGTGCGCCACCACTCCCAACCCTTCTTTATTTTTTATATTCCATCCAGCCTATAAGTCTATTGGTTGGTGCCTCCCACACCCAGGGTGGGGCTTCCCTCTGTAGTAATCTCATCTCCCGCAATTAAGCCAACCAGTGGGCTCATCCAGTCGTCACACCCTTGATCCAGCCACCTCTCAAAAGCCCCACATGTGAGTGCATGAGGCTTTGGGGGCACATCTAGATAAAAGCCATAACAGGCACTAATTGCAAAAATGGAGGTGGGGGAGAGGCCATAGCGTTAAAATGGGAGAAAAAGCCCCGTTATCTGTCAGGATGCTTTTAGTCTCTATAGACTAATCATTAAATTAATGAGGGAAGTTAATGGGGTATAACATGTAAAGTACCACAACAGATTTTTTTTTTTTTTTTTAAGGCAGGGTCTCACTATGTAGTGCAGGCTGGCCTTGAGCTCTCTTATGGAGCATAGGCTGGGTTTGAACTCATGGTGATCCTCCTGCCTCAGCCTCCTGAGTGCTGGGATTCTAGGCATGTACCACCATGCCTAGACATGTATTTCTATAAATCATCAGCAAACAGAAAATGGAAAAAAATTGATAATAACTTCATAAAACACCAGGTGAACCTGAATGAACCTGAATGTATGTAAGATCAACAGACTTTTGCCTAGAAAAAAAATTTAAGACAGTATTAGTGAAGGGATTTTAGTTTTGTTTGGGGGTGTGGTAGGGATCTTCATATGCTAGTAAAGCACTCTATCACTGAGCTACATCTCCAACCCTTACTTTTGTTTTTTATTTTGAGACAGGGTCTGGCCATGTTGCCCAGGTGGGACTTGTTCTTGTGATCCTCCTGCCTCAGCCTCCAAAGTGCTGGGAGTACAGGTGTGTGCACTGCCATTGGCTCTTCATTTTTATTTTTGAGAAAGGATCTCACTAAGTTGCACAAGCAGGCCTTGAAATTTGGATTCTCTTGCCTCAGCATGTTAAGTAGCTGGGATTGCAGGCACGTTAGATATTATTGTAAACCTTAGTGCGGGGATTGGAGCCAGGGTCTTATGCGTGCTGTGCAAGGGCTCTGCCACTGAGCTGTACCCTGAACTTTAGTTTAAGCTGAGTCTGTCTTTGAATTTAATAATCCCTAGTAGTCTGTCATGTGAGAAGTTTCTCCACTGGTATCTTTTTAAAAATTTATTGACACTCAGTTACATATGATGGGATTTACTGTTTCCTAGGAGCACAGATCTGTAAGAATTAAGTGTATAGAATTGCCACCAGCAGCTACAGAGTGCTGCATACCTGTAATCCTATCTCTTCGGGAAGCTGAGGCAGGAGGATTTCAAGTGTAGATCCCACCTAGGTAACTTAGTAACTTAGACTTTTTATCCAAAAAAAAAAAAAAAAAAGATGGGGGATGTAGCTCAGTGAGATGCACCAGGTTCAGTTCTCATATTGTAAAAGAAAGAACTGTGGCCTCCCTTCAGATTGAAATGGTATTTTTATATTAACAAGGAATTACAAATTCAAATAAAAATTGAAAAAAAACTAGTATCTTTTATGGTAGCACAGAAAACGTATCTTGGGCTTGGACTTGTAGGTCAGTGGTAGAATGAGTGAGGGCTTTGCATGTGTGAATCTCTGGGTTTAACCCATCTTTTTTTTTTTTGTCTTTTTGAGATGGTCTCGCTATGCAGTTCAGGCTGGCCTTGAGCTCACTTTGTAGCCCAGGCTGGCCTCGAACTCACAGTGATCCTCCTGCCTCAGCCTCCTGAGTGCTGGGATTACAGGTGTGAGCCACCACACCCAGCTAATCCCAGTCTTGCAAAAGAAGAAAGATCTGACAATATATGTCTAAAATTTATATATTGAAAATTAACAGCATGGCTAGAAAAATCAAAGAAGACCCAAGAGAAATGGAATGTATTCATTGTTACTCAGTTGAAGCACTCAGTAGCGTTGAAATTTTGTTTCTCTTCCGGTTGATCTGTGCCCTCAGCATAATGTCAGTCAAAATTTTAGCATAATTTTGCCTTGATTCTAAAATTTTTGTGAAAAGTGAAGGTACTGTAATAGCCAAGATGTTTTTTTTTTGAGACAGGGTCTCAACTTGTAGTCTGGGCTGGCATCAGACATGAAGTTCTCCTGCCTCGACTTCTTGAATATACTAGGATTACAGGCCCGGGCCACCACATCTGGCTAGCCAGAATAACTTTGAAAAGAATACCAAAGCTCAGACTCATATTCCTTGGTCTTAAGAACCTATCATAAAAGTTATTCAAAACATTGTGAAATTTCTAAAGTATACACATACAGATCAACAACTGAGTCTAGAAGCAAACACACCCACATGTGGCGAATTGATTTTTAGCAGAAGTTTTGAGGCGATTCAGTGCTCCATTGTATACAAAAGAGCAAAACTCTAATAGGTAATAGACCTGAGTATGAAAACTGCATCTATAGCTCACAGTGGAAATACAGTGGGAAATCTTTTTTTTTTTTTGGTACTAGGAATTGAACTCAGAACCTTGTGCTTGCCAGGCAGGCGCTTGTACTGCTGAGCTATACCCTGGCCCTACAGTGGGAAATCTGAATGACTTGAGGTTTGGCAAAGATTTTTGTATGTAGGTGTCAATAAACTTGAATCATAATGAAAATTTTGATACGATAGATTTTATCAAACATTTAAAATTCTGTTCTAACAGAGCCACCTGGGGTTAGGTGGCCACTAAACAATTAATTCCGCTGCTCTGTGTCTATAATTTATTCTGGACCAGGGCACCGTGTAGCTACTCTGTGACCCTCCTGAAAACCCAGGAGCTGTTCTCCGGCTTCTTATTCCCAGTAAGGACTCTCCTAATTTGAAAAGAGAAAGCAAGCGAGAGCAAGAGAGCAAGCGGAGAGCGTGGGAACAAGGGCGTGAGGGGCAGGCTGTGGTCGTGGGAGACATTCACAAAACCTGTGCGTGATGAAGGGTTTGGAAGCACGTGACCCACTCAGTAATAAAAAGCACCCCAGAAAAGAAGAGTTGGACATGAGCCATAGAGGGAAGCATTTCTGGGAGTTGAGCGTGGTAATGGTTTCCAACATTGTGTATGTCCTTAGTGCCACTGACTTGTGTACTTACAGTTAGAGGTGTACATTTTACGTCGTGTGCATTCTACCACAATGAGAAATGACAGAGCGCTGTGTACACAGTCTGTATATAGAGGCTTTCTGCTTTAATACTTAGGTGAGATGTAACCATTGTTGGAGACCTAGTAAAGAGTGACTTCCTGTCAAAATAAAAACTTAGCAGAATAAATAGCAAAAGATTGGACTTTGTGTTTCACGAAGGCAGATAGATATATGGGTGGTAAGTAAGCCTACAAAAATGTATTCCTCAGTAGTTATCAGGAAACCACAAATAGTCATCAGGAAAATACAAAGAGTAAGTTCTTGTATTAAAATGGCTTTAAAAGAAATATCAGGCTGCTAGTGAGGACAGTGGAGTAACTGGAGCCCTTACATGTATATGTCTCAGGGGGAAATGCACCTTCCCAAACACCCTTATAATCCTGGTCCTAGGTTGTAATGGACGTGGAATGAAAATACATACGAGATTTTTTTTCTTTTTCTTTTTTGAGACAGGGTCTTACTGTACAGTTCAGGCTGGCCTTGAACTCATGGCACTCCTCCTGCCTCAGCCTCCTAAGTGTGGGGACTGTAGATGTGTATTCCCACGCCTGCCCCATATGTGGTGTTTACGTGGCTTTAACCTCCACTGATTTGAAAGAATCAAGGAAGCTAGGTGAGGTGGCACACGCCTACAGTCCCAGCACGTGGGAGGCTGAGGCAGGATTGCCACAAGTTTGAGGCCAGCCTGGGCTACATAGTGAGTTGAAGGACAGCTTGACCTTGAAACTACACAGTGGGGCCTTGTCTTTAAAAAAAACAAAGGGAAAAAGAATCAGGTGTTGGAATGGAATGTTTAATTACTTAGTGATGTAGCTGTGCCCACTCGTGCTTTTCCGTGTACTCCACTTCCTTTCCCCTGGTCTTGTTAGAGTGGATTTCTTGCTGAAGAACACAGACATAAGCGAAATGAATTTGTTGGGAACACAGTTGAAGGGTGTCTGCAGTGGGGGGCACTGGCCCTTTCTCCAGAGATCTCAAAGTTAATACTGTCTTGTTGATGAGGTGGAGTGCTGAGGTCAGTCCTTACTTAGCTCTGTCGGCTCAGAAGTTTGACTTTTGACAGAAGAATGGTCAGGAATCTGGTCTTGCCACGAGGAAAACTCATGTTAACCAAGCTAGAAAAACTGGTATGTCTAATTTATAAAAGCTAATACCTAGGCCGGGTGTGGTGGCACACGCCTATAATCCCAGCACTTGGGAGGCTGAGGCAGGTGGATTGTTGAGAGTTTGAGACCAGCCTGGGCTACAAAGTGAGCTCAAGGCTACCCTGAACTGCATAGCGAGACCTTGTCTCAGAAAGACAAAAAAAAAAAAAAAGCTAATACCTGAGCTTGCTAAAGCATAATACCTGTCAAAAAATTGGAAAGCTCAAATGGGAAGGAAGTCCGGTTCATATGGTCGCTGAAAACAGTGATAGATGATGTGATTTGAATGTTCAGGAGACATCAGCACAAAGCTGCATCGGTTAAGTCGTGGTGTCATGTCACAGTACAGCAGCACAGAACAGTAGGACCCCCACCTTGTCTGTGGGGGATGTGGTCCAAAAACTCCAGTGAAGGCCAAAACTGGAGATCTGGAGATAGTACCAAATCCCCTCTCCTCTGTGAGTGCCACGTCTCCTCCTCTGTCTGCATACTTACATAAATACATAGTTGTCCCTCATACATATATACCTGTGATGAAGTTTAATTTATAGATTAGATACAATAAGGATTAATAATGATAGCTAATAATAGAAGCTAATATCTCATTTAAAAAGTTAAGTGAGGGCCGGGGATATAGCTCAGCGGCACAAGTGCCTGGTTGGCAAGTACAAGGTCCTGCTTTTGATTCCTGGTACAAAAAAAAAAAAGTTAAGTGAATCAGGGATGGTGGCATAAGCCTGTAATCCTAGCACTCAGGAGGCTGAGGCAGGAGGATCACTGAGTTCGAGACCAGCCTGGGCTACAGAGTGAGCTCAAGACCAGCCTGAACTGCATAGCGAGACCCTGTCTCAAAAAGACAAAAAACAAAAACAAATTACATGAATGTGGTGGTTCTTTCTGTTTGTCTGTGTGGTGGAATTTTCCATTTAATGTTTTCAGAACTTGTTTGACCATAGAAATTGAAACCACAGATGAGGGTCTGCTATACTTTGGCTCTGACACTTTCTCCTTCGCGTGCTAATCAGTTGCTGTCAGAATTACTTTCATTGTTTAGATAGGTTAAAAATTTCCATTTTGTGTTGATCCACAGAACTGGCAACACATGCTCACAATGTAGCCCAGGATCTGTCGAACAAAGGTTCTTATGGACTGAAAGGTATGAAATGTTTCTTTTAAAAGTTTGCTCAGTTGGGAACCTGACAGCCAGGCATGGTGGGGCACACCTGTAATCCCAGCACTCTGGAGGCTGAGGCAGGAGGATCGCTGCAAATTCATGGCCATCCTGGGCTGCATAGTGAGACCTTTTCTCAAGAAAAAACTCTTACAGGCCCGGCTGTGACAGTGTGAGACAGTTTTTCTATGTATGAGGCCCTGGTTTTGATCCCCAGCACCACAAAAAACAAAACACAGAAAACTTAAAAAGCATCTTATAAAATGCCCCTTCTGTTCTTCCTCCCTGCTTCTGCCTCTTCCTTTTCTTCTTCCTCCCCTCCTCCCTCCTGCTTCTCTCCTCTCTTGCTCTCCTTCTCTGCCTGATGCTGGGGATTGACCCCAGGGCCTCTGTTTGTTTGTTTGGAGACAAAGCCCCTGAGTTGCCTGGGCCCAGGCGTGGTGCTGTGAGGCCAAGCTGGGACATGGAAGTTGAAGGTCAGCCTGGACACTTTAGTGACCTGGTGAGAGCTTGTCTCCGAATAAAGCAGGGCTGGGAATATAGGTCAGCGCACGGGCTCCGGGTTCAGTCCTCAGTACTGCAGAAAAGGATGAGAGACTCTGTATTAGTATTTATAGTCACATTGTAAAGGAGTGAAGTGTGAGTGGGTGGTGTGCCTCGGACTCATTCAGTGTCTTGGGACAGTGTGTGTCCTGAGAGGCTGGTGTAGGGCCAGAAGAACAAAGCATCCGCTGTTGATTTGCTACTGAGCATAGCTGCTTTTTGTATTTTTCATTTAAACTATCACTTTTTTTTATACCTTTAAGAAATCCTAACCAGACACAGTGGCGCACGCCTGTAATGCCAGTACTGGGGAGACTGAGGCAGGAGGATCATCACAAGTTCAAGGCCAGCCTGAACTACATAGTGAAAACCTGTCTCAAAAAACAAACAAAAAAGAGAGAGACTCCTGTCTCAAAATTTTAAAAAACGGTGAGGGGTGGAGAGGGGTAGTGAGCAAAGGTCTTGGGCTCAGTCTCCAGCACTGCAAAAAAGAAAAACAAGAAAATATTTATTTTTGTTTTTTTGATACAGGGTCTTGCTGTGTAGTTCAGTCTGGCCTCAAACTTGGCAGTGATCCTTCTGCCTCAGCCTCCTGAGTGCTGGGATTATAGGTGTGCACCAGCACACCCACCTTTTTAAAAAATGCTTTTACTTTGATGTAGAGTCTTTCTAAATTGCCCAGGTTGGGCTCTAACTTGTGATCCTCTGGCTCAGACAGACTCTCAGGTACTAGGATTACAGGTGAGTGCCACCACACCCAGCTAAGAGATGAGGTTTCTAAGTGATACTTGTAGGTTTCCCTATACTAGGAAATGTTTTTGGTTTTGAGTCATTTCCATTTTATATCCATAAAGTAGCACAGTTTTTGTAACATTTTATAGGAAACTGCTCTACAAAAGCATGAATTCTCTGATTATTTGCTATAACCTGTCCTCAGTCTGGTTTCTGTTAAAGACATTCTATAGATACTTCTAGGAAACAGCAGTGATTTAATTTACTAGGAGATTGGCTGTTAGGTTATTTGCATGATCCTACGGAACTTAGACCGGGTCATCTGCTTTCATTTATTTGAATCCCCTCAGGATCGTTTCCATTTTCCCCTTTCCTTTCCCCACATAGAAGCTTTTGGTAAGAAATGAGATTTTGCATATCAGATGCTGAACTCCTTTCTTCCCATAAGGAACTGAAAACTTGCACACTTCTACTCTCTGGGGTGGTTGTAGTTAAGGTCCTGGGCAACCTTGAAAGCATTGTCTCTGAGCATGTATTTCCAGGGTGCTTTAGTAGGAAGGGCCTGTCGTTGCACATGGCCTGCAAGAACTGTTAACATTACGGGAGCACCAGCATTTTTCTTCAGCACAGTTAAGTGTTGGGTGGGTGATGCGCGAGTGGAATTATTCCTGTATACGTGGCTCTGCCGCTCCTCTGGATGCGTAGGAGGAGACCTGGCGTGCGGGGGAGGTGTGTGAGTTGTGCTGGGAGACCTCGGGCAGACCCCTTAGTGGGTGAATATTTTATAGGAAGGTTGCTTCTCTAAATTTGGTCATTCGGTAATCCACTTGAAAAGAGGTCTAGGGCAGATTTCTCTTAGTTAATACTGTTCCAGCTTAAATACTGTACAGCGTGAGAGGCCAGCCCGTTCTTGACTACTTGTAGTGTGTCTGTATTTTAATCGCTTGGATATTAACTTTGGGATGAAATCAGTTTGAGACATTGATTTGCTCTTGTAAATATTAAGTTGCATTTTAAAAGCACTTTACGTATTTTTTTTTTTTTTTTTGGTTTTTCTCCGGTACCGGGAACCGAACTCACGCCCTTGCGCTTGCCAGGCAGGCGCTTTTGCCGCTGAGCTAAATCCCCAGCCCACTTTACGTATTTTGTTATTGCATATTAAATAATTTGGAATCTTTAGGGATAAGATGATGTTTGACTTTCTGCTGTACATTTTGACTATGGTTTTCCCAACAGGTGCCTGGAAAAATTCTGTAGAGGAGTGGACAGCAGAAGACTGGACTGAGGATGTGAGTGTTTGGTGTCAGGTCAGATCTATTAGTGTTTTGGGGGCTGCCTGTGCTTGGGAGACAGCCTGAGACATGTGCTCCTGTCATTCCTAGCCAGGTTCTCTCCTGTGTACGTCAGACTTCGTATGTAAAGCTTTACGTGAATTCTTTCTTCCTTTTCATTTTCCCTTGTCTTTTATTAAGTTGGGAAATTGCTTTAAGGCAGACAGGGCTTCAGCGGGACTCTTAAGTGATGCCTTGGCACAGTGCAGCGTACGGCCGTGTTGAATCAGTGGTTGACTTAGCACGTTTGTTGTCTGAGTGGCTCTGCCTGCGTGTTAATGTCTCAGCAGGTCTGAGTTTATACAGTTGCTGCATTCTGAGATGTCTAGGCTTACTAGGGATTAAGGCACCTTTGAATACCATTCTTACTAGCTTCCATGCTTTCTCAGTAGAACGTTGTCCAGCTTTTCCAAGCCCATGCTTACATTGCAAATATTAAAAAGTATATTTTTCATTAATGTCAAAGTTTTAAAACATTTATTCTGAGTGCCCTAAAATTGAGTTAAAAATATGCACAAATCTCAAAATAATTACACTGAGTGAAAGAATCCAGGTAAAAGGATTTGTACTTCAAATTTTTTTCATCTACGAAAACAGAATGGAAGGAAAAAAACGGGAAACAAAGGTTTTGTAAATAAGGAGGGGAAGAGAGGTTGAAGGGAGGTGAGGGGATGGGGGAAAAGAAGAATCAGGATATGTCATGTACCGGTACAAATTCCCTATGATGAATGCAATCATTATGTATATCTTTTTTTTTTTTTTTTGGTACCGGGAATCAAACTCAGGACCTTGTGCTTGCCAGGCAGGCAGTGTGCCGCTGAGCTATATCCCTAGCACTGTGTATATCTAAAATGTACCAGTAAAATTAATTTAAAAAGTAATATATATATAAAAAAAACTACAAACATTTGTGCACAGGTTCCCTTTTTGGACATGTTTTTCATTTATCTTGGATGTCCACCTTTGAGTGAAATTGCCGGGTCATACTGTAACTCGGTGCTTATCTTTTGGAGTAACTGCCCAATTTTCCCCGAGCAGCCGAGCTGTTTACATTCTCACAGTGGTGAGCAAGGGCTCTGTTCCCTTCATGCCCTTATGACACTTGATACAGTCTTTTCCTTTTTAAGTCTAGCATAGTGAGTGTGAACTAGCACCTCATTGTGATATTGACTGCATTTTTCCTGAGTACTTACTAATAATGTTAGGCCTCTTTGCGTCTGCTTATTAATCATTTGTATATCTTCCTTAGAGAAATGTCTGTTGATCCTTTGCCTTTTCAAACATTGAGTTGTTTGAATTAGAAATATTTTCATGTATTCTAGATATGTCTCTTTTCAGAGACATAATTTGTGAATATTTTATTGTGTTCTGTAACTTGTCTCTATTTTCTTGGTTTACTTTTTCTTTTTCTCTTTTTTTGAGGCAGGGTCTCACTGTACAGTTTATTTATTTATTTATTTTTTTGAGACCGGGTCTTGCTGTGGAGTTCAGACAGGCCTTGAGCTCACTTTGTAGCCGAGGCTGGTCTCGAGCTCGCAATGATCCTCCTGCCTCAGCCTCCCGAGTGCTGGGATTACAGGTGTGCACCACCATGCCCAGCTACATTATACAGTTTAGGCTGGCCTTGTGCTCACTTGTAGCCCAGGCTGGCCTCAGACTTGTAACAATCCTCCTGCCTCAGCCTCCCGAGTGCTGGGACTACAGGCACGCACCACCATGCCTGGCTCATTTTCTTGGTTTAGAAGCACAAAGATTTTAATTTCAGTAGCATCAGTTTTATTTAAATGGTTTTTCATCTAAAATTCTAGAAAATGCATCCTCATCTGTGGTGTTAAAAAGTATGTCAGAGCCAGGTGTGCTGGTGCGTGCCTGTAATCCTAGCATTCTGCAAGGCTGGGACAGAAGGGTCAAAAATTCAAACCCGGCCTGAGGATCTTAGTGTGTTAGCAAGACTCTGTCTCAGAATTATTTTAAAAAGCCAGGGGTGTAGCTCAGTGTGAAGGTCCTGGATTCAGTCCCCAGTGCCAAAAAGAGAAAGAAAGGAAAAAGAAAGCAGGGCAGGTCAGGGAGTGCCTGCAGGTGGTGAGAGTGAGGAGTGCAGGGACAGGAGGGCACTTCTGATGTTTGCTGTCTAGGTTGTGGTTTCATGGGAGCCATGCAGACGCCAAAACTCGCTAGTGAGTGTTTGGTCTATTGTATGTTACGCCTCAGTGAAACACTAACTTCTCCTTAGAAAGGAGGCCTGTGACTTAATAAAAGTAACACATAAATTAATCAGATACAAAATGCAGACTATATCTTAGAACATTATTTGTTTTACTTTTTTGTTATTTTTATAAGATAGTGTAACAGGGAATATAAAAATGACAGCTTCCTTCCTTCCTTCCTTCCTTCATTCCCTCCCTCCCTCCCGAGCCATTTACATTCTCCTTCCCTCTCATCCTTTCCTCCCTCCCTTCCCACAGGGTCTTGTTATGTAGTTCAGGCCGGCCTGGACTCACTGTGTAGAGTCTAGGCTGGGCTCAACTCGTAGTGATCCTCCTGCCTCAGCCCCCTGAGTGCTGGGATTACAGGTGTGCACCACCACGCCCAGCCCCAGCGGGCTGTTACCACCGAAAGCTCTAAAAGGTTCACCATCACTGCCTTAGATGAGAAAAGACCAATGGCTAAAAATTGTCAAGAATATTCAATATTTGTTTGGTTTTATATTATATAGAACAAGATTAAAACAATATTTTTTCAAACTTACCCTACAGCTTTCTGAAACAAAAGTCTTTACTGCCTCATCTGTTCCAGCAGAGAATGATGTCATACCTAGGCACAGGTAAACACTTCGGCCACCCTTTCTTTGTTTTTCAAAGCACACTGGAAACCTTGGGGCTTAGGACACCTGTCTTCCTTTTTGGATCGCTTCTGTTTTTTCTCTTTTATCTAAAACACCTTAACCCCAGCCTGGTGAACTAAGCTCCAGTTACTTCCTAACGGGTTGTATCCATTGATGAATTAAAATGGCAGTGATTGTCACCAGTTGTGGCAAAGATTATGTTCACCCTGTTCCCTGGCTCTGTTTTCGTAATCTGCTGCTTTTGTGACAGAGTTTACACCCCATCCCTCAGTGTACGCGGAACTGAAGGGCCTCATTTACGTAGTTTTCACCGTGACCCTAAACACTTCTGTACGTGACTTTAAAATGCCATGGCGTGGGGCGATGGAAGCCTGTTGGAAAAGCTCAACTATATGCTATGTGAGAATTATAAAAATTCACTATAGGGAAATAAAGAGGATTAGCAGTGATAGCTCACAGTATATTGTTGTGTGAATTGTTCAGAGTTTCTTGTTCAGTGCAAATCTTTTTCTGTTTTCCTATGCCCTATTTACCTCTTTGAAGGTACCACCGACCCTCCATTCTTGGTCTTTGGGGCAGATGGGGCAGTAAATACATAGTTCTTTTTTACTTTGTTGATTGATTGTTTGTTTGAGACAAGGTCTCACTACATAGTCCAGGCTGGCCTAGGACTCACTGTGTACCTCAGGCTGGCCTCAAATCTCCAGCTATCCTGCCTCAGCCTCCCGAGTGCTGGGATTGCAGATGTGGGCCACCATGCTGGGCTGTTCATTGTTGTTTTGACTCTGTGACTTTCTAGGGTCATTTTCGTTTGGGGAAATAATTTGAAAATTAAGTCTCCAGGTTTCCTATCAGTGATCATGTCATTTCTATGACTATTTCTCAGTACACTTGTTTTTCTTTTCTTGAAAGCTGTGCTTTCGACTCTGACTTTAGAACCTTTAAAACTCCATGTTCAAGCCAGGTGTGATGGTGTAAGCCTGTAATCCCAGCATTTGGGAGGCTGAGGCAGGAGGATTGCCGAGAGTTGGAGGCCAGCCTGAACAGCACAGTGAGACCTTGTCTCCCAAAACCGAAATCAAGTCAGTCAGTCTCCACATTCAAAGGTTCTGCTTACTTGAATAATTTCTAGCTTAAATTTACATTCGTTCCCTTCTTAAATTGTTTGTTGGCAGGATTTGCTTATGATTTGTTCTTCCATTGCTTTTTGTTTGCTTAGCATTGACCTGGTATCCTTGCTCCAGAAGCCTGTTCCTCCAGGTCAAGTGTCAGAGGTCAGCTCCTTAGAAACCTCCCAGCAGCAGAGCTTCAGCCAAGCCCTTGTCTTCACGAATTCTCAGCACAGCAGTCAGATGGCACCAGGGCCTGGCGGCTCCCCTGCTGCCAACACCTACTCTCCTCAGCACCTGGTAACTCGCCTCCCTGCGCGTGGGACTTGCAGACATTAGTAGCGGCAGTGTGGAAGATGACCTGTGCTTACGGTTGTTTTCTCATACGTCGTATTAACATGTCCATAGTAGGTCTGCATCCAGAAAACAATGATGTGATCATTCCCAAGCACATATCTGATGATTCTGTGTGGAATTCAACTGCTGAGTTTCCTGGATGAAGATGAAACTATTTCTTTATTATAATTGAATCACTTTCAACTAATAATCAGATTGAAAGCATCCTTCTTATCAGTAATGTTTTCTTGGGTTTTGTTTTGAAGTTTCTCTGTATTTAAAATGTTAATTTTGGCCCGGCATGGTGGTGCACGCTGTAATCCCGCACTTGGGAGGCTGAGGCATGAAGATCACTGTGAGGCCAGCCTGGGCTACATAGTGAAACCCTGTCTTTTAAAAAAAAAATAAGGGCCGGGGATTGAGCTCAGTGGCACAGCGCCTGTCTGGCAAGCACAAGGTCGTGAGTTCGATCCTGGTACCGAAAAAACCAAAAAAAACAAAAAAATAAAGTTAATGATGGGGCAGTGTGGGGATTGAACCCCAAATCTCACGCATGCTGAACTAAGTCTTCAGCTGTTTTTGCTTTTGAAACGGGGCGTACATTTCCCAGGCTGGTCCTGGACTTGAGATCTTCCTGCTCCACCTCCCAAGCGCCTGGGATCCCTTGTGCACACCTCAGTGTTGATGGCACCGGTGTCCTGCTCTCTCTGCTGCTCCCCTTACCACAGTTTAGTGCTGTTCTTGGCGACTTGCTAGAATCTCGCCTGGTCACTGAGTTCCTAGGTAGAGCTTGAGGTTTTACAGTCATCCCGGTGTGCTGTTCCATGCTGCGGTCAGCACCTTGAGACACCAGAGTAAGACTGTTTAGTATTATATGAAAGCAGTGGTTCCTAACCCTACCGCAGTGTATAGCTTTTAGGGAAAGTAATATGTAACAACTACTATGAAAATAATGACAATAACAATAGAAGTGTGTCTACACAAAATGAGTTGGGGTGTAGGTAAGTCTGTGTATGTGCGTACTGTGCACATTCCAGATTAATACACACATTTCCAAGGTCTTTCCCGTTGTCTGAATGAGGTGGTGTTGAGAGGCCACTACTGAGTATTTCCTGGGGCAAGGCAGAATTGACCTAGTGAGTTCACTGTTCTAAACCCGCTGCTGTGTGGTAGAGATTGTGTAGCTTCAGAGGAGGAGGAGAGCAGCATCTGAGCAGATGTCTAAGACAAGCCGCAGACTGAGGAAGTATTGTTTTTCTTTGTCATTTACTTCTATTTCTCTTTAGTTTTTTAGAAAAGTGATATTGTTGGGCATGGTGGTGCACTCCTCTAATCCCGGTACTTGGAAGGCTGAGGCAGGAAGATCGCCATGAGCTTGAATAAGTCCCTTACTTGCCCAGGCTGGGCTTGAACACTCTATCCTCTTGCCTCAACCCTCCAGAGTACTGCAATCACAGCGTGCACCACCACATTCTGCTGCAAGTGTCATTTGCGAATTCATGGCATTATCGAAAAAGAAATTGTTCACATCCATAGCAGAATGGGTTTATGTCAGAATCAAAAAGGATTGCTTAATTTAGTCAGTTCTTACTGCATAGCTGTACTTTTATTTAGTTCTTACTGCATAGCTACACTTTTCTGAAGTGAGGCTTAGTAGTCCAAATGTTCCAGGTTACAATTTTAAAAATATTTCTGAAAGTACTTGGTGTATTTTAAAGCCCGAGGTAGAAATGTATTATTGCTGAAATTTTGTTCTTTCATTTCTCCTTAAAGTCATCTGTGCTTGGCTCAGGATTTGGAGAGCTTACACCATCAAAACTGACGAATATCACCAGCTCCCAGGTTTTGGACATGAAAGTTCCAAGTTTGGGCCAGTTTACCACTACCCAGAGTTCACAGCAGAATAGTGCAAGTTCCTCAACAGCTCCTACTTCTTGGGACCTCAAGCCCTCAGCGTCCCAGCCCTCAGTCCCCAGTCACTTGGGTAAGTGTACATTTTCTGTACTGGTTTGCCCCTGAGGACATGCTAAATCACTGGCAGAGTATGTTGACTTTTTTTTTTAACTGTTCTCATTTTTAAAAAAGTAGTACATACTTGCAGTACGTGGTGTTTCCATTCCTTGTGAGGAATTAGTATATGTAGCGTGCATTTCTTTCCCCCATGCCCTCCGCCGCCTGACTTTTGAGTACTGAGTGGATCTGGTCCTGTGATGTGTCCGTTGTTGGATCAGTCTTCTTCGTGTGTGTGATACCTGCATTTGTTTGTTGTTTGTAGCAGCGGCAGCAGTAGTACATGCCTGGCGGAGATCCGCAGGAGAATTGAACTAGGAGAATACCACTTGGAGTAAACTCCTAGACAGAATTTTCTGAGATCTGTTAGAGTGAAGTTGTGGCAGAAGGTGGAATGTTGGCAACGTTTTAAATAATACCCTGCATGGGGCTGGGGGTAGAGCTCAGTGGTAGTGTTTACCTAGCATGTGCAAGGCTCTTGGCTTTAGTCCCAGTACTGCAAAACAAAATAAAACCAGCGCAAAAAAATTACACTTTTCGTGTTTTCTCATTCTGACATTTTGCATGTATCTACCATGATTTTGGTCAAGTCTCACTTTCCGTTTTTCGTAGTGTAAAGGCATCATGTGTAAGCTGGATTTTTTTTTTTTTTTTAATAAAATTCCCACAGAAATTGTGGCTGTAACCCATTCTTCCCTACCTGCGCTCACTTGCCACACCAGAAGGGATAGTACAGATAACTTTTTTTTTTTTTTGAGACAGGGTCATGCTGTGTAGTTCAGGCTGGCCTTGAAGTCACTGTGTAGCCCAGGCTGGCTTTCAATTTAGGGTGATTCTCCACTAGTATAGTGCTGGTTTTTTTAAAAATGGTATATCTCTGTACACTAGATTTCTAGGTAGTCATGAAAATGAAGTGCTTTGCACGTTAATGTGAAGCAGTCCTTCAAATTCAACGTTTTGTGAGATAGGAAGGGGTGTGTGTGTGCACACGCCTCTGTGTGGTTTGATACAGTAGATAGTGGAGAAAACCACGGGGTAAAGTGTTGGCCTCTGTAGAGGAGGTATGAGGGTAGAAGTAAGATTTATATTCATTGTACCCATTTTTTTTGAAAGAACAGAATCTGTTTACTGGGGAAACAAAGCTGTGTTTACTGGGGTGGAAAGCTGTCTGAGAGACGGAAGGGGTCCCCAGTGGGTTGCTGAGAATCCTGCTTTTCAAAGGAATTTCGTAGAGCAAAAACCATGAAGCGAGGCACATCTAAGGCGGGGAAAGCTATAATCAGCTAATAAGATTATAAGTAGAGTCACTTAGGTAACATTGATCTAGTGGGAAGTCGCAAGGTGGGTGTGAGGTGGGACAAAACTGTGGTGAACCAGTAAGAGTACGAGAATAATATCGTACGAAATATTGATTAAATAGAGGTCAAATGAGGAAGCAGCCATGTAGCCAGCAAACGCAGCACACAGAGCTGAGGGTGGGCGCTCGCTCTTCCTGGCCCCCACTCAAGGTGATGCCTCCTTAGACTGTCGTCTCTGCTGCTCACCCCTGGGGGAAGTACGTGGGTGTGATCATTCTGTCCTTTGTCTTGAGGTCTGGCTTTTACCCAGTGCGTCTCCCCCACAGTTGCAGTGAATTCTCATCTTCTGTACTGACTCTATTTTTTGTGTGTTTGTTTTTTGGAGACAGGGTCTTGCTGCCCTGAACTCACTATGTAGCCCAGGCTGACCTCAAACAAGTGCATGCCTGTCGTTCCAGCACCGGGAAGGCTGAGGCGGGAGAATCACCATGAGTTCGAGGCCAGCCTGGACTACATAGTGAGACCCTGTCTTAAAAAAAAAAAAAAGATGATGAGGTGGTCTAGGGAATTTCAGAATCTATTGTGTAATATCTTGAATGACTAGTGAGATATTAGCAGTAGGATCGGGAATGCACACACAACATTTAATAACTTCCATAATTGCACGAGTACCCCCCTATGCTGCTGTTAGAATGTGTAATGCCATCCAATTTTGGACGACAACTTGCCTCATTAATTTTACTATTTTTTATTTAAGAAGGAGATTGGTTGAAGTCTCATTTAAAGCTCACTGGGTACAGTGACTTAAGGTTCAGTGTGTCATATGACCCTCTCTCTGCAAAGTCAGTCTGGTGGATCTTGGTAGAAGGAGTCCAGTACATTTGTCTCTGGTTTTATCTATATGATCACTTGGGGTTTGGCAGCCTCTATGCGAGAATAAACAAATTTTTTGAGAAATCAGAGCATGTATAATCAGAGTGTGAGCACTGGAAGGGATAGTATGTAGGCAGGATAAAACCTCTCTCCCAGGAAGGGAACTGGGCTTTTGGGCGTAATTTAAGTGAATGGGTGACGAGAACACCATCACTTACAGCTTAAGTGAGTTACCTGTTTTCTGGTGACTCCTTTTGCGTGTGATGGCTGGAAGGAAGGCTGTGGTTGAAGAGAAGGACCAAGATACAGGTGCCAGTGTCCAGCAGTAGGCTGGGTGTTCGGGGTTGTTTTTGTTTTTTAACAGTCCTGATTGCCCAGGGCTCCTTCTGAGATGACAGTTTGGCCAGAGGGAGTGGCCCAGGGCCCCTTGGTCTTGCTGGATGGGCTGGGAAGATGAGTGTGAGCTCTGGGGCCTCTGCCTCTGAGTGCAGTCTCCCTTCTAGTGGCCACCTTTGCAGTCAGGGCATGACGTAGGGGCCTGCTGAAGCAGTCCCTCTGAAGGTGGCCTGGTTTTCCACAGTTGTAGCAGGTGAGTTTAGTTATTGAGCTGTTCTTGGAGCCCCAAGACTCAGACTTAGGGTATGTTCTTTTGAAGGCTGAAACAAAAGCAGCTGCTTTTTTTGGTCTCTCTGTTTTCTCTCTTTGGCTTCCTCCCAGTCTCGATTATAGAACTGAGGAGGCAATTTTTACTAAAGTATCAAGGGATCTATCTGGAGCAAAAGCTGTCTTTTGTAACTTTCTCGGAATATCTAGGGCTGACTGGATAATGAACTTGTCTTTAAGATTAATCTGTCCTCCTATCGAATCGGAGCTATGGACGTATGTTTTACCTGTGCTTCTCATAAACGATCTAAGAAGGTATAGGAGTTTTCGTCTTCTGATAAATAGTAGACAGTTTAAAATAACGATTGTACCCATTTTTGTATCTGTTAAAAAGTTTTAATATTACATACACATAAAAGTCAGAAACATAATAAAATAATTTTTTAGTTAAGTACAAATTCCGTAAAATAATAAAAACCATTCTCTGTTAGGTGAGTGTGTATAGCAGTTGGTCACTATTCTTGGAGATCTCTACTCTGGATGTGTTAAATATAAACTATATGTGTTCTTTGTACAGGAATTAAGCTACTAACGTACTCAGGTGTCCTTTTCCAGATACCATATTACATATGTTGAGTATTCGCACACATGAGCATGCACGAGTCTCAAGTAGATGATTCAGAGAAACTGGTAGTGATCTGACGAAGCCTCGTGGTCAGGGACGGTGTGCACATAATTGCTCCCTCTTTTGTTCTTCACATGTTTCATAGATTTCAAGTCTCAGCCTGAGCCGTCCCCTGTTCTTAGCCAGCTGAGCCAGCGACAGCAGCACCAGATGCCAGCAGCCTGTGCTCCTCCTCCTGGCTTGGAGTCCTTTCCTTCCCAGGCAGAACACCAAGTACCAGCACCTGGAGACAGTGCTTCCACTGTGCACAAACTTTTGCAGCTTCCTAACATGGCTGTGGAAAACAGTGCTGTATCTGCCCACCAGCCACAACCCAAACACATCAAACCCCCGAAACGGCGGATACCTCCGGCTTCGAAGGTGGGCATTCTGTCGTGCCGTCTCAGTCCTGAAGGATTTACTTAATATCTGGCCCAAGTAGTAGGATGCAAAATTGCAGAAACCGTGAATGCCCTATTTTCAAGCACTGCTTTGTGAGGATTTGGCCTTCTTTGAGTGGCTGGGCTAGTACAGAGGAAATGGATTTGTGCTGAGAGCCAGACACCCTTAATTCAAATACAGACTTGAGGATCTTGCTCAGAGCCTCTGTTGTTCTTCTGTACTCTGCTGTACCCTGTACCTGGAAGGTGAGGGGCTCCCTCACCAGGTAATGCTTGCGAGATTGACATGTTCCCGAAGATAGTCAGCTCCGTGCTCACTGTCCTCCCTCACTTACCCACCGGTGTGACTGCACCCCTTCAGGCTAAGAAGCATCACTCCCTGTGACCTTTCAATACCTATTTTCTTTTTAAATCTGGTTGTATTTCATTTATTATTATTATTACTTTGTTTTATTTTTTTGAGACTGAGTATCACTGTGCGGTGCAGGCTGGCCTTGAATTCAGTTTCTAGCCCACGCTGCCTCACACTTGCAGTGACCCTCCTGCGTCAGCCTCCTAAGTGCTGGGATTACAGGTGGCGCACAGCTTTTCACCCTTTTTTTAATAGGTCCTAGTCCTTTTTTTCTCCTTCCTGTCTCTTACCCCTGGTTTCTGCTAGGATGGCCTAGGGAATGTGGCTGCTTGTTTGACTTTGTTGTAATCCTTTAAGGCATGAGTCTCTGGCCTGTATTCTGATAGGATTCCATTGCTTTTTCAGATTCCAGCTTCTGCAGTGGAAATGCCTGGTTCAGCAGATGTTACAGGATTAAATGTTCAGTTTGGGGCCCTGGAATTTGGATCAGAATCCTCTCTGTCTGAGTTTGGATCGGTTCCAGGCAGTGAACATAGTAATCAGATTCCCATCAGCTTGTATTCGAAGTCTTTAAGGTACAAAACTTCCACTCTCTTGTTTCTTTCTTGGCAAAATAAAACAAAATAGAGCGTAGGAGATCGTCCTGTAGTCATGGGTTTGTGCACCTGTCCACGCGGTTACTTCTGAACTTCCTTCTTTCCCTCTTGCGAGAAGCCCTCCGTCTAGAGCACACACTCTCAGTTTCGCCCCTGCTGTCCCTCGGCATCAGTGACCCACCTCAGGACCGCTTCCCCGAACGTTCTGTGCGACACGCATTCTTCCTTGACTCACCGTGTGGGCTACAAGGGTCGCTTGTGTCATATGGGTCCGTTTTCTTTCCAGACATTGCACTGTGCAGAGTTACTCAGTCATTAGCTGGTGCAGATCAGGTTTCTCTTCTGTTTTTGCTCGTAGTGAATCATATTGATAGGACATTCGATGGGAAGTTTTGTATGCTTTCAGTTCTTTGGCTATGTACCTAGGAGTAAGTTACTGGATCTTAAAGTAATTGGTATATTCACCATTTGAAAACCTGCTGGCCTATCCACAGTCGCTGCAGCATTTCACGTTCCTGCCCATAGTCTAGAAACAGTTCCTCCACGTTTTTGCAGCACTCATTTCCTTCAGTGGAATGTTCTATATATTAAAAATCCTAGATTGAAGATTTTATTGGTTAATTTTTTTCCATGTCCAGAGGCAAAATCTGGTATTTGGTTTGGGTTTCCATTTTGAAGCGTCATGCTAGGTGCCCGGATTCCTTAAACCATCTTAAGGATTCTTAAAAATGTCCCCTTTCTCATCAGTTCTGTTTGGTGGGTCTCACTGTGTGTGAAGGATTGTTGAGCTTTATTTAGCAGAGTTAAAGGACTTGGGAGTATAACTTTGTAGTCACATGTGGATCGAACCTCGAATCTGGTGATGGAGGTGGTTGTATTTAGGGAAGCTGTGTGACGCAGCATCAGTTCGTGACTAATTCCTTTTACTCTTTTTAGTGATCCTTTGAGCAACTCTCTACCAGTGACCAGTGCCGTGCAGAGCTCCACCTGCACGGCTTCGGCCATTACCTCCTCCAGTCTGAGCAGCTCATCGCTGAGCTCCACCAGCCCTGTGACAGCATCGTCCTCCTACGACCAGAGCGCTGTGCACAGCAGGCTCGCACACCAGAGCTCTGTGAGCGCCCCGGAGCCGGCTCCAGGAACCGTCACAGTAAGTGACGTTTCAGGGTTGCTTCCTGTTGTAGAGTACCCTACTTGGAAGCTCATGTGTAGTTTGGTATACTATGCTTATAGGTAAGATTTTATTTTGAAACTTGGCTACCTTTTGAATACAGTCCTTACAGTTTGAGTTTGTTCATAGCAGGCGTCTCTAGAGCCCATGCGTGCAAGTGACTGTGGGGCTGCAGACACACACACTCAGTGGCAGAGAACCAAGCCTCTTAAGCAATCTAAGTGTTCTGGCTTTGTGCTGTGTACTTTCACCTGGTCTGTACCCTGCCCCTGAGTATTTTATTCTTTCCCCCTTACTAATTCCTTTGCCTTGACAACATGGGATTCTGCATTACCATTAGCTGGATTTATTATGTTGTCATTGTATATTCTCTACTCACCTTTTGTTACAGGTAAAGAAATCACATCTCTTTGTCATATTTTAAAAGTCTTGCCTGTATAGAGGTTTGCTACCTGCATATTTGATTGTTATAGCCAGTGATAGTCTTTTTCTTAAATGGAGATGTACAGATATTATCTACTGGAAATCTTAGAAGGAAACTTGGGGGTGCTTGGGAGGGAAAGGAGGAGGGAGAGGAAAGAAAAGAAGGGAGGGAGGGAAGAAGGGTGGGTACCTAAAGTTTTGCTAGGCCACTTCAACTTTTTTATTTTTGTAGTACTAGGGATTGAACCCAGGGCCTTTACACTGAGCTACATCACCAGCCCTTAACATTTGTATCTTGAGATGGGGGTCTTACTAAGTCACTAAGTTGGCTAGCCCGGTCTTGAATTTGAGATTCTCCTACTTCAGCCTCCCAAAGAACTGGGATTACAGGTGTGTACCACCACGGTTAGACATTTTTAGGAATTATTTTAGGACTGCTTCACTGCTTTCTGTGTACTGTATTTGTTATTTCCCAAAATAGTAAAGTGTATTTTCAAAACTGTTAGCCCTTTTGGGATTATTAGAGTTTTTTGTACTATCTTTCCTTTTATTATTAAAAAAAAAAAATGCTGGGTATGGTAACAAACACATGTAATCCCGGCACATAGGAGGCTGAAGCAGGAGGATCACTGTGAATTTGAGGGCAGCCTGGGCTCCAAGTGAATTCAAGGCCAGCCTGAACGAAACAGTGAGAGCAAAAAGAATAAAACAGACAGTTGTTCTTCATTAATCTGTACCTCATGTGGTTGTTGCTGAATCTCAATAGAAAACTATCGAGATAATTATTGGAGAGGTAAGGCAGGATGACTTTTTCTGTCTCTTGTAGAATGGACATGGTGGTCGAAGTCAGCAGACACTAGATGGTGAGTATATCAGCTGACTGTGTCCTTGTCGTGACTGAGGGAAAGCAAGCAGAGAAAGTATGGCTGACACGATGGGCAGTCACCAGTCAGCCGGTGGCTAATTCTCCAGAGTAGCCCTTTGTTAATTTTTCTGAGAATGGCTTCTGGTTCTTCACTGGCTAAGAGAAAGCAGCTTTTCTTTCTGTGGCAGAGGTGATGCGGATCACTAGAGGCTCCCATCCGGTCAGGTGAGAGCCGCTGTGATTATAAATGTGATGGTCGCAGCGAGAGGAGACATTGTCCGGTGCTCCTCTGCGCTAGCTAACCTGGTGCGCGCTGCAGAGGACAGGACCCGTGTAGATCTGTTCAGGGGCGCAGACTCTGGATGGAAGAGGCTGCTGAAGAGGCTGCCTTGCCAATAAGAAGCAGCCCCTCCCTCCTCTTCATAGGCCCTCCCCTCCCCTTCTCTTTTCTTTCAAGATGGGGTCTTACAAGTCGCTGGGGTTACATGCACCCTGCCCAGGTATGAGGGACTTTTAAAGCAAATAAAAAAAAACACTGACCTAGTTGAGCAAAGACATATTCATTGCTTTCAGAATTTGAAGGATGACTGCTTAGGAAGAGAGAGACAGAAAGTTCCTTGGTGTAAATGCGTCAGAGAAAAATGCCTCCTTGTTTGACAGCTAAGTGGCCCTTGGAGGTAGTATAGGTGAATCCCTGTTAGTTGTTTCTTTCTTTTGTGGCTCTAGCTTGACTGTGATTGGTTTTCTTGCCTTGTTCAGTGAAGCAAATGGAATGTCCACTTTGGGTCTGGAAGTCAGAATGACTGTTTTTTTAAATGAGGATTTTTGGGGAGTGTGGGTGTGGAACGTTAGCAGACGAGGTGGACCTCTGTTGGAATTGAGATGAGAGTTGATGTACTAGAATTTGGTTTGGGTACTGATGGTAATGCTGGGCTGGCAGGGCTGTTGTGAGCAGTGTCGGCAGCTCTGAGTTTATTGGGTGACATTGGAGCTTCTCACGGTAGCAGCAGGGATTAATTTCTTCTGTCCAGTCATGGGGCTGAGAACACACACAGGAGCCCTAGGTGGGTTGGAGGTTTTAAATGAGGTAATAAGTATCTGAAAAGCACAGCGTCCTTGTGAAGTAGGTTTTATTTTCAGTGTGCTGCGCCATCCCCATCCCCATCTCCCTCACTTGTTGGAGAGCACAGCTTTCTGTGAGCCTGTTAGCAGTGTCACCCACAGCCTGGCGAGGCTCCCTTTGGGGTCTTAGTTTTGGGTAAGAGACACCAGCTGTGTCTTCATCTGGCTCCTGTAGGAGCAGGTTCTGTCTCTGGAGTAGACTGCCGAGGAGGACTCGGGAATGTAAAGCCTCTCAGAGCTGTCTGCTTGTCGGCTGACCTGACCGGTCCTAGCCTGTGCTTATTTTCAAGTTGCCTTTCCTGTTAGCTGGCTGCTTCTTCCTGTCTGGAAAAGACAATGATGTACTTCCAAGCACATATCCGAAGTGTGTGTGTGTGTGGACAGCACTAAACTGAGTCTTTTCCATAGTTCGGGTCGCTTGTTCCATATCCTCTCTGAAGCCTGCGAAGTTTATGTGTTTTGAGATTAATCTGATAAGCACATCCCAGGGAAGTTTTCACTGGGCGTTGAAAGTAGGTATGGGACAGCAGCTGTGTTCTGTTCCGCAAGAGTAGGAACACCAGTGTCTCTGCAGTGTGCGCGCTGTGGGTGCTCAGCCCCTTGCCTTGAGCTGGCTGTGACGCTGGCAGCATCAGCCTGGGTTGGCCCTGAGTGGATAGACGTGCTCTCGGGAGGTCTTGCCCGCTGACTTTCTACTCTACTTTGCAGTGGTTTTGGAGGGAAACTTGCCTCTCTTTATATTGTGTATATCTCAGCACCTCTGTTCTTCTCTAGGTGCTGCTAGGGCCAGGTTTGCATAGATTAGAGAATTATATCTACACCCTGGGGCAGTTTTAATATTAGCAACACGTCATTTCCTTCCCTTTGTCCCAGTCTGCTGCACATCCAGATGTCACACATCTTTTTGATAGTCCTGCCTGGCATTGGCCCTCCAGTGATGGGCATTGCCCCAAGGAATGCACCTTTGTATGTATCTCACCTGGGCCTGATACGTTACAAGGTCCCCAGGACTGGTTCCGGAGCTAAACGGGCCTGTTTCTTACAGCTGCTTCATCCGTTCCGGCTCCCAGGACGACAGACCCTCCCTCCACCCTCCCGTCTGTGGGCTCCCTGCCCAGTACCACCTCTTGCGCTGCTGCTTTGCCCTCCTTGTCCCAGCCGGGTGACCTGTCCAGCATCCCCCTCTCTGAGCTTAGCAGGTATGGGGGAAATGTGGGCCCAAAGTGAGGAAGCCATTGAAAGTCCGGTGGAAGTTTGTACACCCCAGCAAGTACGGAACGTACTCGTTGCCTCCACTGTCTTGGGATTTTCCATTAGTATCTGAGCTTAGGTTCTGGCCACATGAGAGCTCAGAACTGCCAAATGGGAAACCCCTGCCTCTGCCGGCACAGAGCGGAGCGGAAGGGCAGTGGGCGGCACGAGGGCTCTTCGCCACGGGCCTTGGGCCTCGTCTCGGGCTGACCCTTGTCGCGTACATGGAGTGTGAGTGGTGGTGCGTTCTGAGGAAAGGTCCGACTTAAACTGACATGGCTCCGGAACCCTCTGGACCCCTTCAGCCAAGTATTTGATCTACACTGTGGACCTGATGGGAATTCAGGCTCTGACCCTGGTGTATGGGTGAATGTATCTCATCCGCAGATTTTCTGAGCGCTCCAAGCATAGCAGTATCATAGCGCAGACCTGCTTTTGTTCTCGTTACAGCCTAAAGAGTTACAGCTCACTGACTTGGCTTCTGGAGGTTCTCTAGGCCAGGGGTGTCAGGTCTCACCACCAGGGACTGTTCGGGGCGTTTCTAACCACGGCCCTGCCCTGCGTCTGAGGCCGTGAGGCCTGATACGCAGGTCTGGCAGGGACAAGCTCTGCATAGCCGTGAGAGCCGGGGGGCTTCGCTCCTGTGGAGTGACTTGTCTGAGGGGACACGGGGTGCTTTGTTCTGTCTTCCAGTTCACTCCCCAGCCACCAGAGCAGCCTCTCCTCTGCGCACGCGGCCGTCTCCTCGAGCACGCCACACACAGTAAGTGTCACAGGCTCCACCCCTGCCGCCCCACTTTGCACACTGGGAGCTTTGTGTGCTGTGGCTGGGGCTGGAGTGAGTTAACCTTGGAGATCTGGGGCGACCTGGAATCGTGCTCGGCCGAAGCACTTTGATTTTGTTGTGTGGTTTGAGCCACTGGTTTCCTGGGCTTTGTGGAGGACGCCTTGGCTGTGAGGTGTGTTGGAGCTTTTTTTTTTTTTTTTTTTTTTTTTTTGGTACCGGGAATTGAACTCAGGACCTTGTGCTTGCCAGGCAGGCACTTGTGCCACTGAGCTGTGTCCCCAGCCCTGGTAGCTCCTTGGAAGAACTGCCTCTGACCCAGTGTGGTATCACAGGGAGGGCTGGGTGGGGAGCTTGCTGCCATACTGTCTTTTTGTTATAGGAGTTTTCCTTGTCAGCACAGAACAGTTTGTTTTCTGGGCCTTGTTATATTGAGATGTTGAAAGTTTTTTGGAGAAAAATATGTTTGCTGCAGACTCCAGCTTAGGCTCGACTAAAAACTCTTAATCAAGAGCAGGGTTTCTTGGTAACCCTGTTACGTTGTGCAGAAAAGTACTTGAGAAGCGAAGAGAGAACATGGGTGAGGAGCTGCACCCCGCCCCGTGTGGCGCTGCGCACGCAGCCCTGAGGCTGGCGGTGCTGCCCGGTAGTGAGCGTGGCCGCGTGCGTTCTGCTGGCGGCAGAGGGACTTGCGGTTGCTGTTGGGTGTCCCGTGTGCTCTGCGCCCCAGGCTGTCTTTCTCGTCTCGTAGGCAGGCGCTTGGAGAAGGGTCACCTGGAAGGTGGCGGGGAGAAGTGAGCGCAGAACTGTGCGGCTGAGGAAGCCAAGGCAGGAGAGATGAGGAGTGGAGATGTCGGCCGAGAGGTGCCCGTGTGCCGGGGATGGGCGTAGGCTGTGTGGGTTCCAGGCTGGTGGCGGCTTGATGAGCTGTGACGCTGGGAGCCTGGTTTCAAGGAGTGAGGTCAGGCCCGGCGGGGGTGGGGGCGGGGACAGGCAGCGGCATGCAGTGGAGCAGCGTGTGGGCACTGACTCATGGCAGGGACGGAAGGATGCCTGGGTAGACAGTGTTCACGCAGGTGGACGGCAGGTCCACGGCAAGAGGGTTTGGGTGGTTGACTGGGAGAGGCAGGAAATGGTGAAGTTGGTTTCCTTTGCAGAAGGAATCAGCTCAGCTGTGGGTGAGGAGGTGGGGAAGGGGCGGTGCTGCTGGCATCTGTCGAGCGCAGTGACTTTCAGACTTGTTTTCCGAGTGAAATCTCACACGAGGGCCTTTGTCACAAAACACATAGACGCCCCTCATCAAAGGGACGTGGTGTGGGCTCTTCCCTGCCCGCCCGCCTCGCGGGGAGCTCTGGTGCCCTTGCTCTCGGGGAGCCGCGTGCTCTGTGTCTTAGCTCAGAACTCCAAGTCATGGAATCCTAATTGGCACAGCCAGAAATGCTCATCCAGTGAGTCCCACACCCTGTCACTGTGACAGGAGGGTCCTCCCGGTAAGACATGCAAAATAATTAATATTACGTAAAAAGAGACATACTGAAAGATTGTCCTGTCTCTAATCTTGTGGTTCTGCCCTGAACTACTTGTTTCCTCCATAGAGGCTTTAAAAATATCCGTAAAAAGCCAGGCATGGTGGCACAGCCCATTAATCCCAGCACTCAAAAGCCCGAGCCAAGAGGACTGTGAGTTTGAGGCCAACCCAGGATACATAATGAGTTTGAGGCTGGCCTGGGCTACAAAACGAGACCCTGTTTTGAAAAACAAAACAAAAATCCATGAAAGAAGAAAATGCATAGACACGGTAGCTTTCCCTTTGTTTTTTGTTCCTTTTTTTCCTATCACATTAATGACAGTACCTTAAACACAGTGCCCCCAGGCCCCCATTTTGGACCTGTTGACATTTGTTCTTCTACAGTTGCACTGTGTGGCTTTATGTCTTCCCTCTAGGACCAGTTTTTTGTCTTGATGGTCGTGTGGCGTTGAATGACCTCTGCATTATGTTGTTTCACATGTACAGCTGTCTCGGGGGTTAAAGCCCAGATGTGGAGTTCTTAGGCGCATATCATATACCAGTGGCCCTGCCTAGTGATTTTAACCTGTTCGTCTCCTGCTGGCAGGAAATGAAATGCCTTATTTCCCACAGGCTCCTCAAAATGGCATTTTCACATACTTTCACATTTGTAATATATTAAGAAAAAATAGCCCTTCAGTGTATTATTTAACGGAATGAAATTGGATATCCTTTTTTATATATTTGAAATACATTGAATTTTCTATGCTTCGAGCCGTTTATATTCTTGTTTTATTTTTGTGTTTAGTCCTTGTTCTCTTGCTAGGCATCCTCTGTGTTTTAGAGATTTAGCAGCAATTTGTGATGGGAGATGCAGAGTGTATGTTTGTTTATTTTGAGGCAGGGTCTCCCTGTGTAGCCCAGGCTGGTCTTGAACTCACAGTGATCCTCTTGCCTCAGCCTCCTGAGTGCTGGAATTACAGGCATGCACCACCGTGACTGGCAGATATTTTGGTTTGTCTTTTTATGAGCAGTTTGATTTTTAGCTGGGCGAGGAGGCTGAGGCAAGAGGATCAATGTGAGTTGAAGGCCAGACTGGTCTACATAGAGAGACTCTGTCTCAAAAAAACAATTTTTTTTTTAATATATACACATTGGCCAGGCATGGTGGTACACACCTGTAGTCCTAGCACTCAGGAGGCTGAGGCAGGAGGATTGCCGTAAGTTCAAGGCCATCCTGGACTACATAGGGAGTCTCTGCCTCAAAAAGGAAAAAAAAAAAGGGAGAAAACACAGTGTTTTTTCCTCATGGCATATCACAGTTACATTTTCCCACCTAGCATTATGAGGCGAATCCCACTGTTTTCTCCTCCTTGCTTCTCGGGGCCCACCCGTGGGGAGCTGAGCACCCAGGCTGTGTTGGCCGGGCCGAGTGAGGCCCTTTAACTGGGGCGTGAGCCTGTTCAGCCCGCAGATTGGCCTTCTCCAGTGCTGGGAGCTGAGGACACAGATCGGCTCTGCTAGGGTCGGTGGCATGGAGGGAGAAGGTGTCTGGATGGTTTTGTTGAGTTCCTTTCAGCAAGGTGGGACCTGGCTCTCTAGGAAGCATCTCTTGTGTATAGGAAATGTTCTTTTTGACTCCTGAGAAAGTTATGTGACCAGTAACATTTGGGAGTCTTGATCAGAGCTGTTCTGGATTCTGTGGCTGGTGGTGCAGGGCCGGAAGTTGGGTTTCTTACAGAGGTCCGTGGCATAGGTGCTGGGTGGGGTTGGGCACCCTTTGTCCTCCTTCGGCTAGGGCCCTCTCCATCCTGGTTGTGTGCTGAAGGAGCAGGAGTCCCTGGTATCCCTAAGAGAGCGTGCCTTCAGATGTCCTGGCCTTGGGGCACTGTTTCTAGCTTTAGTCTGATGGGTGGGGAAGGCCGTGACATGAGACAGAAAATTTGAAGGGGCTCGTCATTGCCTTTATCCCGGGACCTTCCTGTCCTTCGGCTTCTTTCCCAGCAGTTTCTGTCCTGTGTCTGCACGCGGTCTCGCTTCTCCCACCTGTCTGTCCAGGCCCCTTTCCCCGCCGGTGTGGGAGTCCTTCATGGTGTCGTCTTACTGTAATTGCACTACGAGGCAGGGTTTCTGAAACTCAGGAGCTTTGTGCTGTTTCAGCTTTCCTTCTGTGTAGGTCTCCTTGGGCGAGCACAGTGGCAGGCCCTGGCTTTTTAGGAAGGCCTGGGTGAGGGGCTGGCAGACTGCAAGGTGTTAGCAGGTTTTGGGTTCAAGGGCTTTTGTGGTCTCCTGTGGCTTCCAGAGCAGAGTAGCTGAGATTAAGGGAAGGGGAGACTGCCTTGGGCTGGGCGCCTGCGGCCCTGTGGTCAGCCCTTCTGAGACCCCCGCTTTTCTGTGAGGCGGGCTCTCACCCCGCGCTCCAGCAGTCTTTATGATCTTCCTTGGTGCTTCTGTGCCTTGTTCTCGGTAGCGAAGCACGAGCATCTTGAAGAGCTCAGTTTGATGGGCTTGATGAGACTGGCCGCGCGTCCTAGCGGCTGGATGTGGCGCTGAGCGTGGAGGCCCGTTCCGCAGAGCTCCTGGGCGCTGGCGGCGTCACCGCCTGTTCAGCCAGGAGGCCGCCCGCACGAAGGGCAGCCCGGGCTCCCCGGCCCCACCGTCTCCGCCTCGACCCACGCGTCCTGGTTTCTGTTTTGCCAGCACGCCAAGGCAGAGAGCCCCCCGTCCGTGCAGTCCTCGGCCGCCTTCTCCGCGGCGGCCCCGTCCTCCAGTGCCCCTTCCTCGGCCGTCAGCCCGCCTGGCAGCGTGAGCACTGGCGGCCTCGGCCTGGGCGGGCCCGCCGTGAGCACGCCCGGCAGCACTGGCCGCGCCGCACCCTTGGCGACCACAGGTGGGTACCCGGGGCCTGTCCTGCCCGTCCCCGCCCCTCACGCCTGTGTATTAGGCTTCCCAAGCAGGGGCCAGGGCGTGGCGAGGAGGTTGGTTGTGTGTCACTCGGCCACGGCCAGGCGCGCGTGGCCCTCACGAGGCCGACCCTGCAGCCTTCAGGAGGGAATGATGGGGTCAGTTCGCCAGGTGAGCTTCGCTGGGGCCGGGTTCCTGGAGGCCTCTGTGCTTCTGGCTCTGCGTTCCTTTCTGCCCTGTTCCTACCTGGGGCTGGTGTGACTGTCAGCCACACGAGGCTGTCTTGCTGGGCTGAGCAGACAGGGGAAGCTCCTGAAACCTGCCTTTGACACGGCCTGTCCCGTCGCCGTCCTGCGTGGCCGCCGCGGCAGCTTTCCCGCGAGGAGGAGGGGTCCCTGTGGCGCGGTGACCTGGCTTCGCGTTTATGAGGCTGTGCTGGGGCAGCGAGGTGAAGACGACGTGGCGGAGGGAAGCTGCACGGCTCCTGAGGGCCGGGAAGCAAGGGCGGCCCAGGGCCCCAAATGCTCCGCGGAGGGCCTCCCGCTGCGCACCCCTCCTCCAGCCGGGCCGCTCCTAACGGTCTGCCGCTGCCGGTGCCGCCACCAGCTGGAGACCAAGCCTTCAGCACGTCAGCTGGGGGAGCTTTCCGGATCTACCCCTGGCAGCTTGCGTTTGGAGGAGGCATCTTGTCTGTGCTCGCGTTCGCTCGGTGCGGTGTGCCGTGGCCTGGAGGGCCGCAGTGCTCCTCCGAGGAGGGGTCTTGCGGCGGTGAAGCCGCGTCTGAGCTGGCGTGGGCCCTGGCTCCTCTCAGCCCCCTTGCAGCGTAACGCTCTAGGCCTCCTTCCAGAGCAGCTGAGGAGTCTCACCTTCGAGCGCTCCGCTCTACTCCATGTGTGATTTTTCACTCCGCAGGCAAAGCACCCCCAAACCTGCCTCAAGGGGTACCGCCCCTGCTGCACAACCAGTACCTCGTGGGCCCCGGAGGACTGCTTCCTGCCTACCCGGTGAGCACAGCTGGCGCCCGGCAGGGCCTGGCGAGGGCGTCGGGCCGGGCCAGCGGAGCCCAGCTTGGGCCGTGTCCTCCCTGAGCTCCCTGTCTCGGCCCCTTTCATTCCTTGTGCGTCTTCCGCCCTCAGACCCTTCCTGGACGGGACCGGTCCCTCAGCAGCTGGTCCCCGTCCATTCCTGGGTGTGTCTTACCCCCGGCCGTGTGGCCCTTTACACACGTGTTCTGGTTCCCCTGCAGATCTATGGCTACGAGGAGCTGCAGATGCTGCAGTCACGGCTGCCCATGGTAAGTGGAAGCGGGCTGGAGGAGGCCGTGGCCGTGCAGCCCCGGCGCCGCTGCGGGGAGTGCTGTGCTCGAGGGAGCACGTCTGTTGTGACCGTGGCTTAGGCGGGCGAGTGCCCTGGGGAAGCTGAAGTCCTGTGGGAGCTGGAGCCCCAGGAGACCTTCGCGGCCGCGCAGAGACGTGCTGCGAGACGTGCAGCGCTCAGCCCTGGGTTTTATAAAGGCTTCCTCCAAGCACTCTGGTTTTTTGCACTGCGTTGGCCGGTGCTTGTGCCCGCCGTGGCAGCGTCGCTGTTCTGCCCTCGGCCGAGCGGTGACGCTGCTGTCTGTAGACTGTCGTCTGGGCCTGGCCTGTCTGTCCACCCTGGGTCTCCCTGGTTTTTGCGGCCACACTGTCAAGCCAGGGCTGCCTCTTTATTCTGACCCAGGGTAAGAGGAGGAAGCCCTCCCTGGGCCTTCCATGGACAGCCACGGGAGCAGGGAGAGGGCACGGCGGGAAGTGGCCTGGCATCCTGCCCTGCCGGTGGCAGGACTGCCTTCTGGGTGGCCGCTCTGTTAGCCTGGTGTTTCCTGAGGCATCTGGCAGAGCTCGTCGACCCCTGGCTGTGGTCTCTCCTGCCCCTCCGTAACCACGCACCGCCTGCGCGGAGCGCCACCCAGGCACCGCGCTGGTGTGTGCGCTGACCATCCCGAGCGTCGCTCAGGCAGGTGTCATTGCAGCCAGTCAGTTCTTTTACTGAGTAAGTTTGATACAGTTGTCAATTTAAATTCCCTGTTGTGTCGTCTCGTGAAAGTGAAGGGAAAAGCGCGTGTGTGAGGAGTAGGCTTGGTGTTGCCGTGCGTGGGGCTGCGGGTGTCCGCCCAGCTCGGCTCTGCAGGGAGCGCAGCGCCGCGGCGGCGGCGGAGGCGGGGGTGAGCGGTGCTGCCCCAGTCTCTGCTCTCCTCAGCCTGCTCCCCTTGGTGTATGTGGCCTTCTTTTCTCAGCTTGTGCCTTAGAGAAAATCCCCCCGAGCCCACCTTTGGGATAAGCTGCTTTTCATTTCCCTGTGGGTCACTTTTTAGCATTTGGGGCTTTTGAGCCTGATTCCTGCCTTTGGAATTCCTCGTTGTCTGTGAGCGGCTCCCCCTCCGGGCTCGCATCCCACGGGCTCCGTGCGGTCTCCCAGTCCTTGTTCTGGCTGAGGCTGTGTGGGTTTCCTGGAGGTCACCCGGAGATGTGGCCGGAAGAGGCCAGGGTGGCTTGTCCCTGTGACCACAGATCCAGGGCGGCCCAAAGGCTTGCCGCCCTCCGCTGGACACGGGGTGTGTCCTGTGCTGAAGCGCGGGACGGGGGGCCGGGCAGCAGGGCCGCTTGTCCTTGGAGCTGCCACGTGTCTGTCTCGCAGCGCTGCCCTCACTGCCCTCCTTCCCGGCGTCTCTGCAGTGTTGCTGTCGCCAGGACACACAGGGTGGCGGGGAGGCCAGTGGCGGCTTAGGCCCTGTGCCTGCCTGGCACTGATCCGTGCCCCTTCAGACCTGCAAGGTTCTTCCTCCCCCTGCCGCCTCCCTGGCTGCTCCTGCCTCACGTAGGAAAGGCCGGAAGGTGGCTCGGCGTAAGGCCTCCGTCCCGCCCCGCCTGTGCGCGGAGCAGACGTGCAGACTGGGCCTGTGAAGCACGGGTCGGTCAGCGCTGTCCGCGTGCTGCCTCCGAGCTGTGCGGCCTGCCTGGGAAACGTGCGGTTGCCCACGGTGCCGCGTGCTGGGCCGCGTGCTGGGCCTCTCCTGAGCCGGAGGAGGCTTTGCCGAGAGTCCCGGTCTTTCACAGGATTACTACGGGATCCCCTTTGCTGCACCCCCAGCCCTTGCCAGCCGAGACGGCAGCCTGCCTAATAACCCGTATTCAGGTTGGTGGGCCCCGCGGGCACAGGTGGGAGGGTGGGAGCTGCCCGCCAGCCGGTCCCTGGGGAGGAAGGCAGATGAGGGAGGACTGCGGGGTTTCGTAGCAGCTCACGTGAGCGGTCGGCCTGACCTGCTGCTGTGTGCGGGAGGGAGCCAGTCTGGCCCTGTCCTCGCTTGTGTAAGGTCCAGTGTTCTCCTCCTAGGCGATGTCACCAAGTTCGGCCGGGGCGACTCTGCATCTCCCGCTCCGCCCACCACGCTAGCGCAGCCGCAGCAGAGCCAGTCCCAGGCGCACCCCACCGCCCAGCAGCCCTTTCTGAACCCTGCACTGCCGCCTGGCTACAGCTACACTGGCCTTCCCTACTACACTGGCGTCCCCAGTGCCTTCCAGTACGGGCCCGCCATGTTTGTGAGTATTTGGGGGGCCACAAGCCTTCCCCTGGCCATGCGTCCCTGGAAAGATGAACCCTGGGAGCGGCAGCGGGGAGGGGGCGGCGGGCGGAGCGGTTCAGGCGGAGTGCCGTTCATCTGCCGCTACCCCCGCGGTGCGCTGCCTTAGCGACCGCACAGGCCCTCCGCGCGTGGGCGTCACCCGTGTCCGAGGCTAAAGCACAAGGTACCTGACCTGCTCTGTCTCCTCGCATCACTTAGACCGGTACTCACCTGCTTCCCCAGGTCCCTCCAGCCTCAGCCAAACAGCACGGCGTGAGCCTCAGCACCGCCGCCACCCCCTTTCAGCAGGCCAGTGGCTATGGCCAGCCGGGCTACAGCACAGGTGAGGGGTGCGCCCAGCCAGCGTGGACAGAGCAGGGCCGGGCGGGCTCGTGAGCTCACGCGTGTCCCGCGTGCTGCCGTGCTAGGTTACGACGACCTCGCCCAGGGGACAGCAGCAGGTGACTACACCAAGGCTGGCTGCGCAGGATCCCCGCAGGCACCAAGCAAGTCTGCTGGTTCTGGGCCTGGCAAAGGTAGTGTTCACCCGCCCTCCCCGCGTCAAAACACGCGATTGTCTCCTCCTCGATCCTCGCGGGCAGGGCCACCTCTGTTCTTGGAGCTGGGGCCAGACGCTGTGGGGAACAGTAATTGCTTTTCCTCCTAGGAGCGTCCGTGTCTTCAGGTGCCACTGGCCTGCCTGATATGACTGCTTCTGTCTACAGCAAGACGCAGGTGAGGGAGGACCGCGGCGGGCGGATAGGTGGGTGGTCGCTGAAGCCCAGCCCGGCCCTCACCATTGGCGTCTTTGCCCTGCAGGCTTTTGACAAGCAGGGATTTCACGCAGGAACCCCTCCGCCTTTCAGCCTGCCCTCGGCCTTGGGCTCCACTGGCCCCTTGGCCCCCGGAGCAGCCCCTGGCTACGCGCCCGCGCCGTTTCTGCACATCCTGCCCGCCCACCAGCAGCCCCATTCGCAGCTGCTCCAGCACCACCTTCCGCAGGACGCCCAGGTGAGTGGAGGCGGCCACGGCCCTCCTGCCCTGGGGCGTGGGCTTTCTGCGGCCCTGACGGCCTTTTTCCCTCCTCAGAGCGGCTCGGGACAGTGCAGCCAGCCCAGTTCCCTGCAGCCCAAGTCTCAAGCCACCAAACCCACCTATGGCAGCTCTCCATACTGGACAAACTAGGCCACTGAGGGCAGGGCTTGCCCTGGGAAGGCAAGAAGGCGGGGAGCACGTTTCTGGGAGCCCAGGGCCCCTCCCTGGGTTCTGGAAGCTCTGCGGGGAGCCTTCCTCCCAGCCGCGCTGTTGTATGTAATGTAATGTAATGTAATGTATGTACGTATGTATGTATGTATGTATGTATTGTAAATGTGGTAGGAGCCTAGGGCCGCGAGTGGCCGCCAAGTCTGCTCTCCCGATCCAGACAGAAGCCACATCTCTGCCCTTGTTGTCCCCGTGGCCGCCAGGTGGTTTGGGCTTTGGGGTCAGTTCTCAGTGAAGAACCCCAGCTTATCTCCGCCCCTGCAAACCATTACTGGGGTTTCTCTCCCTCGTGCCTGCTTGGTACACGTTTCTGAGAAACGGGCCCTTCGTCACCTGCCATGGTTCCCCTTCCACCAAATCTTGGTCTGAGAACAGAGACGATCGCCTGCCCAGCAGGCTTCTGGCTCACTCTGTCCTCGAGCCAGGGCTTTTGCATCTGGTCCTGTGTCGGGGACCGCCGTCCTTCAGCCGACCTCTTAAAACAGTCCGATCTAGGTCTCAGAAGAAATACGCCAGTCAGCTCCCCTTCAGAAATCAAAGATCTGCCTCCATTTCAGTGCAAGCCCATCTCCCAGCCAAGGAGCCTCTATTCCAGTTGTCCTGAACTGGGTGGGCAACTGTTCAGGGGTTTCTCTTGCCCCAACTCCACCTAATAAAAGTTCTGAGAGCAAGCCTCGTGTCCGTGTGGTGGGGCTCAGCAGAGGTCCCTGAAGCCGCGCCTGGGGCTTCACGGGGCTGGGACGGACTTCCTGTGGCCAGTGTTGGGCTTGAGACTCTTTTCTTCTTTGCTGGACCTTCTCTTGGCCCAAAGGGTATGGCTGAAAAAGACAGCTAAACCTCCTGACGGGCCAGCCCGGTTTCGCAAAGTTAACGGTACTTAGCGGGAGGGCAGTCTCTCCCTCACAGGGCTCTGGCTACAAGAATGCCGAGGCGGGGTAACTTTTCCAAATCTAGAGCAAAGCTAGGACTGGGCAGCAGGGCTCTAGATGAGGTAATACCTGCCGGTGCTTTGTCTGCTTTTCATCAGACACCCTTGAGCGGCGGCCTAGGGCTGTGGTGGGACAGGGACTGCTGGGTCAGGTGGTTTCTCCACGTCCCCCAAAGTGTTAGCCTTGAGCTTCGTTCTCCATCACTGCACTTCAACCAGGCTAAGAAAATCTGTGCTGCCCGCTCAGGTACTGGTTGAGTATCCAAATGTTTGGGACCGGAAATACAGTAGGTCTCAGAGCATTTCAGGTTAGGGACACTTACTATACGGGTCAAGTTACTGCCTCCAAGCCAGCCTAGGCTCACAGGGTTCACCTTCGGTACTTCCGTGTCTACAGTCAGGAGCGGTGGTGACTTCTGACAGGATGCGTGAAGCCATTAACTCATTTGGAAGCTTAGCTAGAAAAAAGGGCCAGTGTCCACAAATGTAACTAAATATAGGGCTTTATTAATGTAAATCTTGCTTCATTCCTGGTATTACCAACAGGAAGCTGGGTACACGAATGACAAAAGCATGTGTCTGAGAAAGGCAGCGGAGGACCCTTCAGAGACTCGTGTATCGGAATTCAGTTAACAAACACGCCTTCAAGATCCTCCTTTCAAAGCTTTTGTGGTTCGGGGATGGTGATTCTCTGGGGAGGCAGGTGGGGTAGGTCAGAAAGGCACATTAGCCAGTTTCGGGGGTGGTTTTAATTTTTTCCACTACTGAGCATTATTTCTAAGGTAACAGTGAAAACATTGACACCACCTTTTACTTTTCAACACAAGGAGAAAAGAAGAGGGTCATCCCATGGGGAAAGCAATACAGGTATATTTTATTTCACATTTTATTAGTAGACAGATGGGCAGAGAAAGACAAAATAAAACACTAAAGGGGATGTCAACACAAAATGCATCAGATAATCTTTTCTCATAAGTTAAACTGAAGAAAACATCTACAACTTCGGCTAAGAAAGCTATTAAAGTCAGGTGTGTCCTGCTGGTTTCAAAATAGTGGAAAATTGCATCTGAATCTTTAGTTGTAAATGTAAACCTTTTTGTCAGAATGGGGAGGGTTGAGAATTAACTTCCAGCAGAAACTATACATTTTCCTCTTCGAATCTCCTACGTATATGCCCCAAACGTAAGGAAACCAGCAAGGAAAGAAGGAATTGCCAGGAAAGGCTGCGAGAGTCTGGCTAGGAGAAAAGAACTCTGGAATGGTAAGAAGGGCTGCGGGCAGGGAGACTCAGAAGCAACAGAATCACGGTATTTGACTTTCTCTTCAGCCTCAAAATACATGGAACTGAAGACCAATTCAGTGAGGCTTCAATTAGAATCAAGGAATCTAAAAATGCAGGATTTTAAGTTCACTTCACACCAAATCATCACGACTATCCTCACAAGGTTCTGGCGTGAACCTGAGGCCTCCACCCACTCCCGGGTGGGCTGGAGGGCACAAAACCAAAACCCCCACTCAAGCATTCTCCACAGGGTGTACTCTCGGGGGCAGAGGCCTGGAACCGGCATGGGGCTTTCGTAAGCGAGGCTACGCTATCGGGATACCTGCCGCCATCAGAATATTCCAGGCTTCTGGAACGGACTGTACTCGCACCAGAGGCAAACCCAGCCTGCAACAGAAGAGCCTGAAGCGGGGGCTTCTCTCGAGAGGTACGGCCTTCCCCTGGCGCTCTGGCTTCCTGAGTCCACATGCAACAGAGGCCAGCAGGGCCTGACGGGACAGAGCTGAGCAGCACAGCACCTCCCGCGATGCCACGGTGCCTGGCCTGGCCGGGCCTGCCCCCCGAGGGGGTGAGATGCGTCAGCAGAGAGAACGAAAGGCTTCATTTTAGGGCTCCACGACTGTAAGACCAAGCTACCGGCTGTAAACGTGTTGGGGGCGCTGGAGTGGGAGGTAAATCAGCATTGTCAAAGGCTTTGGCTCCAGAAGGTTTGCAGGTTATCTGAAAGCGTTACTTAAGTGTGGGGAGCAGATAGCTCATTTCAAAATTCTACAAGAGCTTTACACTCAGAAAACTTAATCGTGTAATAGTGTGTCTTCACAGAGCTTGCTTCCTCCGTCTGGAGTCGAGGTGTAACAGCAGTCCCACCCTGTGGGGAAGACACAGAGACTCTGGGACCGGGCTCAACAGTGTCCCGTAAGAACCTTAACGTGTTAAATATTCCCGTTTACTAACAGGCCAAACTTGATAGGCCAGAGTTGGCTGCTGGGAAATAGCTTAAGTTTGGGAGCATTTGAAGAGCAAATGAAAACCCTGAGATCAGAAAGGAAGGAGGAGCTAAGGAAGTAAGCATCACCTACTCTGACCATCCTAGGATCCGTCCTACCCGTCCCTCATCTGCCCTTTGGTTCTTTCTGAGCTAGGATTTGAAGCTGACACCGGTGTACAAGGATCTGCAGTAGGACTGTAGTCACCTTTTGCTGAATTTTCCTTCTGAAATCTGATTTTACATTACAGAGGTTTTTCCCAAAGAACACTGTAAATACACTATAAACTTATGCACCCCATTAACAAGAAAGTCACCTTCAGATTCTGTAGTCCCTGCATGGTAAAGGCTGCTAGATCTCAATCTTGATGGAGACCTGGGAATCAAACCTGCAGCACGGGCATGGCCCAAGTTCTGGCCTGGCCTGGCAACTGCCTGTAATCAATACCCTTGGCGCTGCCTGAAGAGACAGGCCCTGGGATGGGCCGTGTACAATTTCTGCTTGTACTTGAAATACACTGAAAGGAAGAAAGTCCAGATCACATCCAGTGAAGCAAGCAAGAACCAGTCACTCAAGTCTCACACTCCCACATTTATCACTATCAGTATAAGCAGCTCATTGACAAAATCTTTAACACATGCACCTAGGGTTAATACTGAGTAATTAAAAGTGGCTATTTAAATTAAAAACAAAACCAAACCATGTTACGGGGGTATCTTTGAGGGGAGGGCCGTGCTAAATACAACAGCTGTTTCCTCTCCAACACTGGCCACCAGCAGTTCTGACTTTTTCCCTCAGGAGCAGCAACCAGAGTTGGTGTTTTTTAACCCCTTGTTCTCACCACTAAAAATCCACACACTAATTTCTGCTTCCTCCCCATTTGCCTCACTGCCTGGTGGGAGGAAAAAACTTGCCTTTAAAATAAATAGCAACCAAGTGCTCCGTTCTATGGAAAGTATGAATATTTTATTTCAGAGTTTAGATCCCAATCAGTTAAAAAAAATAAAACCAAAAATCAAAATCTGATTTCTCTCCTCAGCGTAGCTAGAACCTCCATGTTCAAGTTTGTGGAGGCTGAAAGAGCACATTACGTCAGGCTTAGCAAGAAGTCAGTCCCTGATGCCCACGGAATCAAGCAAGTTCACCACCCAGGGCCGAGCGGATGTGCGCACGCTAACGTAAATGAGCAGCTACCCCTTGGCAAATCTGTGTGTGTGTTCTGCGTAAAGTTGGTGGGTTATTCTGTTTCCATTTCCTTCTGCTACCCAGGATGTGCAGCACTTGTGAACTCCCGATGGGTTCCCAGCTTGAAAACACATTAAATGTCTCAAAAAGACTATTTAATTCTTCAGGAATCTAAAAACAGACCAAACGTTTTGCTGTGAACATTTTGTAAAGACGAAGTGAGGCTGGAGTTTGGGTTTTTTTTTAAAAAAGAATCAATACAGTGATGGCAGGGTAAAGAACGCGAGAATTCAGACATTCTGTGGAGGGTTACTTTCTCTCCATTCAAGGTCCACAACAAGGAGCAAACTGAGATCCGTAAGGGGAGTCGGCAGGAGCTGTGTGTGTTTCCCCACCCCCTGGTGAATAGGTTTTTGCTGAGGGGCCGTGCTAGGTCCCCACTCGCTCCCCTCCCTTTGGCCTGAGACGGCAGGGCAGTACGGGGCGCTGAAGAGCGCGTCACGACTCCTCATTCCCAGAATCGTCGTCGTCGTAGCAGTCGGCGTCCTCCTCCTCCTCGTCTTCGTCGTCGATGTCGTCGTCGTACAAGTCGTCGTAAAGCAAGTCTGAGCTGTTGTCGTTGGAAGGCACTTTAGTTTTGATGCAGTACTCCGCCAGCGTGGTGGGGACCTTCACCCCGTCCTTCTCTGCTTCCGCCTTGGTGGCCGACACCTGCTTCCTGAGGACATGGAGGGTGACACAGGTCAGTTTGTGCTAAGTTTTTAAGATGGGACAACTCGCCGTCATCAAGATTTCTTACCACTGCTTTCCAAACTTCAGCACCTGCCCGAAAGCACCTGACGGATGCCCACACCACGCCCCAAGGCTTTCAACCCACCGCTACCACTTGGGAAAGCTTTAATGGCAACCTTTCGCGAGGGAAACGAACTACTAACGCAAGGGCGTGTTCAGCAACGGCTCTCAAACGCTGGCCCCAAACGACCTCTTCCTGTCTTCCCACCCCCACCCCATCTCACTGGGGAGCCTTAAACTCGGTAGAACCCGAACACCTCGCCGCGCCCCACCATCTACGGCCCTCTCCCGGCTCTCGCTGTGCACTGCTGTCGCCAGCTCCAGCGCTTCCAGGCCGCCGGTCTCTCTGCCGCACCCGGCAGCAGCCTGTTCTGTCTGGCTTCAGGTGTCCTTTCCCCGACCTGCCTGGCTCCTGGTCACTCAGAGCTCACGAATCCGTTTAAAGAAGGCTTGTTTGGTCAACTGCATTTAGCAGAACTCCTTTTTAAGAAATTTCTATAGTGCTGGGGAGGAAAACTAGGGCCCTGTATCCCTAAAGGAAGCACTGAGAACAGCTTCGGCCTCAGAGACAAGCTAATTTAAAGCAGCTGCCTACCCGCTCTCATGTCATCCTTCACATCTGCCCTACTTACTAGTAGTCCGTCTTCTCTTTATCTTTCTGAACGTTCTCTCTCCCCACATCAGACTTCACTAACGCAGATGCCACACCCTTAGCTACTTCCGCACGCGAGTGCCTGCAGTACAGTTCGGCAGCTGACAGTCCTTTTCAGTCACTCTCACAGCTGCTAGGCTTTTAGTCTCTGTACTCTGCCTGAGGTCCTGCGCCCACCCCCATGGTTTTATGCGGACTCCTCCTATGCTGGCAGCTCTCAGGCCTCCAGCTCACACTTTCCTCTCAACTGCAGATACTTAACCAAGCGCCTTCTGCATGCTAGTAACGCAGTAAGGTTACATTTTCCATTTTTTACCTCAATAGCCAGTTCCTCCCATTCTTCTTTTCTCACATACACACTGGTTACTAAAACCATAAATCTCAGCCCAAACCGTACTGCTTTACAGCCTGAATACTTAAGATCCATAGTCTCATTCCCACTGCCTCAGTTGGTCAGTGGTTTTTTCTCAGATCATCTCGTTCCTCCTAAAACTCACTTACTAAAACTAAGAACCATCTTTTCTTAAAGAATTTTTTTTTTTTTTTGTCTTTTTGAGACAGGGTCTCACTATGCAATTCAGGCTGGCCTTGCGCTCACTTTGTAGCCCAGGCTGGCTTCCAACTCAAGGTGATCCTCCTGCCTCAGCCTCCTGAGTGCCACACCCAGCAAAATTTCCATTCTTAAAACCCAGTGCTTTTTACTTAATTTCCCATCACTTCCCAAATCAGCATTTACATTTAGGCACTGAGGAACTACTTATAATGCCCTTGATGTACAAATGTGTTTGTTTCCTTTATGAGCCCCCACCCCCACCCCAGCACCTTTTTTTATTCACCCTGAAAAATGTGTGGTTATGAGGCATTATCTTTCCCTGGGAACTCTAATGTCTTACACATTCTCTGTTTGGTCCTTTATAGTTGCACTTACTATATACACAGTCATTTGTCTGTTTACAAATGCTAAGACGCTAAGCGTGAGATCCCTAAGGACAAAGGGCTGCAGTGATGATCTAGGAGAGAGAACCTGATACAGGACTGGCACATAATAAATGTTGAAAAAAATCAGACAAAAGAGATCCTCAAAATAGGTAACTAAATATAGACAGAAGCCGAGGAGGAGCACGTACGCAGTTCCTGTTGAGCACCACCTCTCCCCGAACAACAGGCTCCGGCCCGTTCTCTGCAACATCCCCGTCCTGCAGAACTCAGCTGACTCCTGCTCTCCCAAATTTCTATAGGCTCCGGCACTCACAGCCTCCAACGTCCGGTGCGCGTCCGTCACTGGGGTGGTCGCTGGTGCAGATGCCCAGCTTCTAACTATTTCATTAAGGAGCTATGGTTCAGGCAAGGTCTAAAGGTGGTCACAATGGGTAGAAAGCAGAACCGCTGACTTATATTACTGACTAGTCACACAGAGTGGTTTCTCTGCACCCCCCATTTCCTAGTATTTCTGCCAACCAGATTTACGGAGAGTCTGTCTGTACAGCAAGAGGCTGCTTAAAGTCCAGCGAGAACTGAACTCCTATGCACAGGATGAGTTGGAACGGTACTTGAGGTTCTATTTTAAGGTATACAAATGTATCATCGAAGGAGTTCAACACCTTGCAGAATTACTGGGCACTATTAAGAAAACCTCTGGGGTGTGGTGAGGAAATGAAATGACACCTTCTACTTTCCTACTCTCACACGGACGGAGAAACTGAGGACTCCCAGGTAACAAATAAATGGTCACACGAGGAGTGGCAGAGCCAGCAGCAGACTCCAAGTCTGTAGTTCTTTTTCTTCGTTCTACCTCTATTAGTGCTGTTAATGATGAGGACATCCAAAGGATATACTCGCTACTGCAGCCAAAAACCGCCAATAAACCACAGTGCTCCATTAATTAAAAAACTGAAAACCAAAACTACTATCTTTCATATGCCTAGAATCTCTGGCAAAATGTGTTATATTTAATGGACATGCTCCAAGTCTAGAACAGGGTGCCCAGAATGGCTAGGAAGGAAATCTGCAAACTTGACTTGTTAAGAACCTGGCAGTTTAGGTTCCTAGGAAAGCGCATCCTCTTCTAGTAGTAAGATCCTCTCTCAATAGCCAAGTTTAGCCGGGGACATAGCTCAGCAGCACAAGCGCCCGCCTGGCAAGTGCAAGGTCCTGAGTTCGATTCCCGGTACAAAAAAAAAAAGGAAAACAATCAACAGACAAGTTTACTACATTCAGGAAAGCTCTTCCCACACTATAAACCTAATTAAGAGCAGTTAACCTGAGTGAACAGGATATTTAAGTTTGATTTAAACCTCTGGTTCCAGAACACACTTGGGGTTGTATGAAGTCACAGAAAACAAACAAATACAAAACACAGAACCTTACCTAATGATCTCAGCATATTCTTTGTCTTTTCCTTTACTGTCCCTCCATTTCCTGAACATAACTGAAGCATCCACATTGGCTGGGGAGAAGGTGTTGGGCTCATTAAGCAGTGAGATTACACTTAACAGGATAGTCCTGAAAACACAGAAAAAGGGTCAGCTATGAACACCCATGTTTACAGTACTCAGAAGTATTTTGCTTTTTAAGGAAGTACAGATTTTTAAAAATGAGATTTTATTTGTACATTTTAGTTATACATAGAGATCATATATTCAGATTTTAAGTTTTCCTTTTCTTACCACCTGAACCTAGGCCTAGGAAAATTGATCACGATAAACTTTTGTTTTCAGTACTTAGCTGGTGAGGCCGGAAAACAAGCTTCCAACCAGGGAACAAGGCAGAGGCAATATGAGAGTCCAGTATGAAGGTCAGCATGTTGCAGGACATAAAGTGGACTCTAGAAGCCGCTGTCCCAACTGGCTGCCTAAAGAATTACTTAAGGTGGGTAGGAAAAAGCAAAGCCTGAAACATTTAGCTCTGAGACGTGGGACAGGGTAAAAATGACACTGTATAGATCCCATTTCTATTGTGGCCACTTAGAAGATAGTACCGCATACATATCCTCATACTGCCAAGGAAAGAAGACAGAGTTACACAGGGACTGGAGGAAAAGCAAAGGGCTGACATGGAAGAACTAGTGCCTGGGTAACAGAAACCTTGATTCAAAAATATTTACCAAGTGCTTATTGTGTAACAGAGGCACCAAGTGAGAGGTTCAAAGTACAATGGAGAGCAGTTTAGATATTATCCTAATCTCCAGGCTTATACATCAGGTATAAATATGTATTTTTAAACCAAATATAAAAATCTGACATTCCTGTGAGTCACACAGTTTGTTAAGATAACCAAGGAAAGGGCCGGAGACATAGCTCAGTGGCACAGCGCCTGCCTGAAAAGTGCAAGGTCCGAAGTTCGATTTCCAGCCTCCCCACAAAAAAACCAAAACAAAAACCACCCAGGGAAACATGAGACTCCAACATGTTTCCAATCAAGTTGTTTTATTCCCTGAATCTTTTGTATATGTGTGTGAGGAGAAAAATGGGGAGAAAAAAATAAATTTCTCTACCTTTTTTGGGGGTTGGGATGAGGTTATAGATTATTGTTATAAAACAACCTTTTGGTCTTGGCCCCAAGCAAAATATAAAGGGAAGAAACCAAGCAATTAGAAATTTTATTTGATGAAACTTTCCCCAAAAGGAGTTTCTGTTACATGATTATTTAGAATCCATTTGTCTTACACACACACACACACACACACACACACACATATGCTTGTAACTTCTGTGAAGTTAGGAATACACTCTTGGACCCTTTCCCAAGAACTTTTGTTTTTTTTTTTAAATTTTAAAGAGTAAAAGAAGGATAACATAGTAATGGGGGGGGTACCAAGAACTTTCTTGACTTCTTCAGTAATTACATTAACATCATCACCACCACCAAGGGCAAATGACCATAATTTACTAAATGTGGGTAGTCTAATAATCACATTGAGTTTTCAAAAAAAAAAAAACAAACCACAAAATCTGTTAGAAAAACAGAGTAAGGACAAAGTATAACACAAAAGTGGTGGGAAATACACAGGGACTAGCAAGTAGCAAATCAGCAAGTTGTAATGGTCTAAAGATCTCAGAAATGTTTAAAACAAACAATACTTAAACATGAATTTGGAAGGAGGGCTTCTGGCGCACAGGGAGCCATG